AGAGGCTCACCAGAGAGTGATGAACTGAAGGAAGTCATGACTGTAAGTTAGAAACAGGGACACCATGAGGCTCTGCATAGAAGTGATCAAAAATCAATATATTATATAACAAGGAAAAAAGTAGTTAACAGAATGAGCATTGCATTGCAATCTAAAACTTTTATTTTCAAGCATTGAGCACTGGCTGTTTTGCCATATGCAGCATAGCTAACAAATAGCTTAAAGCACACAGTGCTTATGTTAAAATATATACAGTATGATTTTGCTATTCTTCACACAATCTTCACCATCAATCTAATTTGACTTACATGTGAAATTTCACTGAAAAACAGATAATCTTTTTGATTATCAGTAGTGCCCACTCTGTAAAAATCTATTAAAAATAATAGATTTACATGATTGATTTACATGTGAAATGTCAAGTCATCATACTGTATACATACTGTATTTATATAGTCTAATTTTGTATTTACGTAACATTCTTAGGTTAATTGCTTTATAATATATTGCTTTAAAGGGGTCATACGATGTTGCTAAAAAGAACATCATTTGATGTATTTGGTGTAATGAAATGTTATCTTTGATTACAAACAAACAAAGAAACAAAAATTAATAAACAAAGCCAACCACCTAATAAATAATATGTGTCAGTACTGGGTCAATAGTATGTAACAAGCATTACTTTTATTTGTATCAATACTACAGCGAGAATAAAAGTTACTCCTTTTCTTTCTTTCTGAACATTTGGGCGGCGTTATGCAAATCTTCCCACATTGTGACGTAGACATGTGGGGGCATGTTAGAACGAGCCATTTTAGGTAGGCGTGGTTGACTCTTAACTTTTATAAAGAATACCTCTTTGGATTTGAGACTTTAGTCTTTGCAACTTTACAGATCTTCTTTATGCACCAAGAGCTTGTAACACTCCAAAGAGAAAGGAAAAATTTAAATCGCATCATATGACCCCTTTAAGATTTGGTCTATGAAATCTCACCTATTAATGTTGTCTCTGGCTCAGGAGAAAAATACAGTACAGCAGATCTGAACTCCTCATTTATTCAGGACCAGGTTTTATGATGAGGTGAAGTATGTTTCAGTTTCACTTTACTGTAAAATCTTACATAATACTGCTAACGCACCTTTTCATTTGCCAAGTTTTGTTATTCTAATGACTATAGTAAGGTTGTTGCTTTTTTAAAATAGTTTGAGACTTTTTTCCCCCTTTATTATTATTTATATTTTTCATGTTGGGAACATCATTAGACAATATGACAGTATAACGATGTTTGACTGATTATACACAAATAATGTATATAATCTTTTATGTTAGGTATTCTGCTAAATTATTATGCTTCATACTAAGTGCATTCAATCAAACAGACTCCTTAAATGAAAATTTAAAAAATGTGACGCTTAAATAAAAAGTCATTCAAACCTTGTTGCCATTTATGACAGACGCAATGTAAGGAGGAATTACTGCACAGTAGTAGCTCTTGTTTTCAGAATAATAAGGGTCAATTTTTTTAAATTGAGGTTTATACATCATCTGAAAGCTGAATAAATACGCTTTACATTGATGTATGGTTTGTTAGGATAGTGCAATATTTGGTTGGGATACAACTATTTGAAAATCTGGAATCTGAGGGTGCAAAAAACTATCAGTAAAACTTTAAAAAAGAATGCTAATTTACTTGAGTATGTGAATGTATCATTGTTTTAGAAATAACAAATTCACGATGAGGAATGTTAATATACTCAAATTCAATTGTTTAAATTGGAATCACACATTCTTAATAAGGTCATAAAGTAGACTGTGTAAATTATGAGGATGGTTTGGAGTTTAAGTTTGTTTTATTTTATTATTTTAGGTTTGAATCTTATTCTTATTAGTATCGTGGGAAAGGGTCTCTCATCCAAATCTCTTATCTATTCTTTTCCATTTTCCATACATCAATACAGTGTTGTACAATGCCAGTTGTACTTAAATCGTCCTTAATGTTATGCCAGAGACATAGACAGCAGTAGGAGTGAACTTCCCAAAACTTGTGAGTCATGGTCACTTTAACAGGTGCTGACCAAAAGTATCCTGTCCCTTTAAGAGGAGCTGCAGTCTGTGATTGAAAGGGCAGTGTGTATATGAGTCAGCTGCTTTAGAGCCAGCTGTGTGTGAATGTGTGCTGCCAGGAAGTGGGGCAGCAAACACACCAGCTACAGTCCCATCAGACTGCTGTCCTAATCGTGCAGTCTGTGGCAGAGCTTTTCTCTCTTTCTTTCTACCTCTCTCGACTCTCTTCTTCCTGTCATCTCTTTTCATTTTCTAGTCTTGGAGTGAAAATCAGACTGATTCTTTGGGACTTATTAGGGATCCAGACACCCCCACCCAAAGTGGTCCATCTCTGTGTGGGACCACAGTGCGCTGCATTGTGACTTACAGTTGTTACTAGTAGCGGATCCTGCCGTAACCACTGTCCACCCATGCTCCGTGTATTTATTCTGTGCGCCCAGAATGTGCTGACGCATGATGAGGACATTAGCGATGCCTACTGCACCGTCACTTATGAAGGTAGGGGCCAGACCAGGGTGAATGAGAAAGTAGTTTTCTGAAAAATATGTTGTAGAGAATTTGCTAGAATACCATTTTCTTTTCTGTACAATCACATTCATTCTCTTCTCTCACTGTCTTGTTGTCAGTCTTCCTACTTTCCACATTCCGTCAAACGGGCTATTATTGGAAAAGCAGTTGCAGTCTCTCTCTCCTGCTCTTGTATATTTTTATGGGTGTCCTGTTGCAGTTGGAATATGTGCGTGTGAAAGAGTGCTGCAGATCTGCTCAGTGTTTCTAAGAGATGCTAGGTCATCACTGTTTGGTTCAATGTGGGGCTCCTGTTTGCTTTACATTCAAAGCTTTCAGGGACCCATAATTCATGTGAGATGGATCAGAGGGGCATTTCACATTCATTTGATATTGACAAATTTGACAAATAGAATAAAAAATATAATAGAAATAGAAGACTGCATCAATTGCATTTTAAAATATGTTAAAATAGAAAACAGGTATTTTAAATTGTAATGATATTTCACAATATTACTGTTTTGCTGTATTTTGAACAAATAAATGCAGCCTTGGTGAGCATAAGAAACTTCTTTAAAAAATATTTTAAAAATCTTACCACCCCCACTTTTGAAAGGTAGTGTATGTCTGATCCTAGTATTCTTGTGTTCTCAGTTTTACTGGGTTGTTTCGTACTGTTTTGTAGCTGTGTCTTTTATTGCTGAGGCTTTGGAAGATCTAACAAAAAAGGACACTACAATTTACAATAAACTATTTCTTTACATAAAAATGCTTCATTTAAATACAGTAATTCAGATACTAATTACCCATGTTTTTACTAAATCTCCTGTAAATCATTCAAATAGGCTATCTAGGTGTCTTATACAGCCAAGCTAAGGCTGGTCTGTGCCTGCTCATAATTCAGTGTAAAGATACAATGCCGGATTAAAAGCCTGACAAAATTTTGCATTCTTTAACCCACCTCAGCCCCTGGTATCAAAGTATACAGTTGTAATTGCTGTGTAAATGCATTTATGCCACATCTGAGCAGCATTAAACAGCCTGTGGAAAGACACCTAAATGCCACTTCAGAAGCACTTCTGTGCCACCTTTGCAGTGTAAATTTGGCATCACATCATTTCATTTCAATCCACATCAGGATTGTTTATGAAAAGATGATGCAAGCTCAAAGGTAAAGTGTGCAGGCTAACATCACCAAACTGTATCGCATTGCATTGCATTGAACATTCCCTCCATCTACCACTGGTGGACAAACTGAAGAATCTTGCCCCAAACTCACAGCATTGGTTGAGCCACAGTTACTGTGCCAGGCTGGTTGGGAGGCTCAAAATTTTGTGCCAAAGTGTTCTACTTTTTTAGCTAAATTCTTACCACCCCCACTTTTGAAAGGTAGTGTATGTCTGATCCTAGTTGATCAAACAGCTGACTGTTTTAATATTTTATTGTATTTAAGTACTTGAGATTTTGCATTCTTTAACCCACCTCAGCCCCTGGTATCAAAGTATACAGTTGTAATTGCTGTGTAAATGCATTTATGCCACATCTGAGCAGCATTAAACAGCCTGTGGAAAGACACCTAAATGCCACTTCAGAAGCACTTCTGTGCCACCTTTGCAGTGTAAATTTGGCATCACATCATTTCATTTCAATCCACATCAGGATTGTTTATGAAAAGATGATGCAAGCTCAAAGGTAAAGTGTGCAGGCTAACATCACCAAACTGTATCGCATTGCATTGCATTGAACATTCCCTCCATCTACCACTGGTGGACAAACTGAAGAATCTTGCCCCAAACTCACAGCATTGGTTGAGCCACAGTTACTGTGCCAGGCTGGTTGGGAGGCTCAAAATTTTGTGCCAAAGTGTTCTACTTTTTTAGCTAAATCACCTTTAGTTATCTCTGCATATTAAGCTAGTTGTAAGTATCTTAAAAGGAAAAACAAAACAAGCTCAGGAAGATGTGCATTCAGGCTTCAGAAATGGCAGTAGGTGGTGCTCCTTGGCTGGAAATGTCAGCTAACAAGTAAGAAGACTACAGACAGACCACAAAGACTCTTGAAGTACTGTATACTGACATAATATAATAACTATATGATAACTAATGTTTGCAAGTGCGAAAATTAGTGGATTTTAGTATTGATGAAGGCAATTACATGTGCTATGAAATTCCAAAATATCTTTTGCTTACACTAATTGTTACACTGCATTATACAAGTTTTTAAAACGTTAAACAAGTTTTTTAATGTTTTATATTCTAATTAAAAGGTTATAGAGAAAAGATAGATGATGAGAAAGAAGAACAAGCTGCAGGAAATGTTTAAATTTCCTCTTGAGTTATGGGCTGGGTCACTGGAGAGGAAAGTGTGGTCCACAGTAAGTTTGGCTCCGTAAGTTCCTACATGACATTCTCTGTGTACGCATGTGAGAAGTGCTTGTAAGTGAAGATTGTGAAATACATTTATCAGTTCGGACCCCTTATCAAGGACGCAAACAGAAATTGATTTTTAGGATTGTGGTGGGCTTATACAACCCCCCGATACATTCCATTCTGGACATCACACTCATCTTCAGCTTTGGACCTAAAGATCACAAGACGCCTTTATCTTCAGAGCAACCTTTGTGAGGGTCCTGCCGGGATCTGTCCCTCTTTTGTGGTCTGATGGTAGTTTGACCTGCTTCTTGTTGGAGATTTTGGGAATCAAGGCAGCATGTTGAGGTGTTTGCTACAGAGGGCGACCAATCTGGGAAATGTAGAAAAAGGGGAGAGGCATAGTGACCCACTTGCTAGCATCACTTTCAGAGGTAAGAGATGACATCAAAAACATGATTGACTGTCCAGCTCAGGGCATAAAAAAGCAAGATCTATTATGAAACTGTCGCGAATGTGAGGTGAAAATGCAGATTTCAGTCATTTGGACTGTTGGGTACATGAGTGTTATTTATAGATCATTTTCATCTCAGACTAGTATAGTAAAATTGCATTTGTTTACTGACAATATTAGTTTACACAATGAAAGAGGTCATTTCACTTTCAAGTTAGAGGAACCTTTTTTTTAACCTGTCAGTTTGACATTGATTGTTGAAAGGGAGAGATGTAACAAATGTTTTGATAACTTTTCTCTAGGACGGTAGATCATTTCAGCCAATAGCCGAGTGATCATATCGGTGGAAGATGCTAAATAATCTAGAAGGTTTCTGGATAGATCTGAGCTTGATTAATTATTTTATTAGTTCTTACATTGAATGAATGAATGTGATGGACACTAGTTTTAGACTACCTTGCAAACTGAGTGGCAGTTCCTCTCATTGTTCCATGTTTCCTGTTCCAGCACAGGGATGTACAGGGACATGCGTTTGATGAGCTTGATGTGTTTTTGTATGCCGAGTATCCATGGCGATGAAATCCTGTTCTTTGTTTATACATGGTCCTATTTGATTGTCTAAATTTTCACAAAACAAGAAAACAGATTAAGATAGGAATTTTTTTAAGTTAGCAAATAGTAGTTAATAAAGATGAGGTTTGTTTTGAGTATGACTTAATTTTGCAGGATGCTGAGAGAAACAATGTAGTTCTTGCCTTGTGTTATTTAGCACTTGGCAAACTGCTTTGGAAAATATCAAGGAGAACAGAGATTTTCTACATTTCTACATTAAAATTTTTAGTACCCCTTCCCTCAGAGAGAAGTATTGTTTGCGGAGCTAAGTTGGTTATATATTTGATTAATTCATTCATTTGCTCCAGTGCTATTTTAGTATTATGTATATATTACCATAGCATTTATTGATATTTTGAATTAGCTTTTTTTTTAAAAATATTTTATATAGTTTTCATTTGTACTTACTAAGTTTTGGTAATTTTATGTTTGTATTTTTTTTTTTAAATATATATTTCTATTTAGCTATTAATTTCAGTTGTGAAGGCAAGGCAACCTTTCTAATTTCTGTTAAAATTTTTCATGTATTATTTATATTTTAATTTATTTCAGTTTCATTATAATTAACAACCATTTAGGATAACAATAACAACAGTGCGTTTGTTTTGAGTTTAATTTGTTTGTTCATCTGTTCATTCATTCACTTGTTACTTGATTCAATTTTGTTCATTGCATTTATTTACATTTTGTTTGAAAGATTCCTTAAACCCCCTTATCTGTGCATGTTATGTCATATCTTGACATGTAACAGTTGTGAATTTCCTCTATGTAGTGTATCATTACTGAAGGTCATCTCTTTTTCCACCTCTTTGTCATGTGATGAAAAGGCTTCCCCTCATTCTTACAGACACTGAGTCACTCTATCCACTCTATAAACAATGACACCAAACAACTGAAGGAAAATCAGGTGTTCTGGCCTTTATTCTGAGTTGGACAAAGAGTAGGTCACTGCATTAGGCCTTTTTATTGTGTCACATCTGGAGGTCACTGATGTTTCTTATTTGTTTTTCCATTTAGTTCCCGTATTGGGTTTTTAGTTTCAGACAGCTTCTATTTTACTTGTAATTAGTCTGAATCCATTCTAATCAGACAGTGTGTGTACATGCGTATCTTCCGTTGTATGTGAATGTTAGGGAGAGGGGATGAGACTGGAAGACATAAAATTACCTGCAGTAAGTGTTTTTTCCTCAGGCATGGTATCAAATACCATCTCCATTTATAGACATCACAGATGCAAATTATCCTCCCAATCCAACTGCCAGAGTCCTTAGTTTGAGCTCTGAGTAAGCAACAATATATGCAGACTGTGCAAGAGAGAGAGAGAGAGAGAGAGATACATGAGAATTTGACGGACTTTGTGCAGAAGGCAAGTGTTTTTTTTAAATGAAAGGTATTGACAGAGAAGGGTGGTCTGTTAGCATTGCTGACAACCAACAATTCTGTTCAGTTTGCTTTGCTATTGCTGACAATATGGCAAACCCGAAACTGTATCAGTATCTGTATGAGACACGGATCCAGTTTGTGTTTAATACAAACTGAATAAATGTATTTAGACTGGGCCTGAAACTCCAGGATTTCAGTCTTGTTATTTTTAACTCATACTTATCAAAGCTACAGTTTCCTGGCCATTTCTCAGATTGCATCCACCCATCGACTTCAATCTGATGTGTTTTGAAATGCACACTAAATAAAGCCCAGGACTTTGAGGGCCACGGTTAAGAACATTCCATCCAGTTTCCGTCACATTTTGGTGGAGGATGTCATGGCATACCAGTGTTGTCCTCTTCTGGCTTGTACAAAGGTTTTCAGGTCTATTTCAGGCAGGCAAAGAGGGTTTTCCCACAATGCCACTGAGCATATATCTGCCACAGGAGCTTGTTTTGGCTTTATTCACACCTCTTGACATCTCCAATCAAAACAGGAAGATAAACAGAGCTCTCTCCTGAAATGTTTTAGAGTGACAGACCAGCGGTGATTTAGATGGATACAATGGATACACCATGCATAGATACAATTGGTAGCTTACTTTTTTGTGCATGTGACTACTGTTTGTAGCAAAAGGTCTGAAAACATCTTGAAAAATGTGTGTCTGCTCATTAGATCAGCTATAAATTGTCTTTCACCAATACGGGCTCAATGTCAAGCCCAATCTATGTCCCTGTGGAAATCTTTCAACTGTATTTGTCAGGTGGAAGTTAGTGCCCATTGTCCATCTTCCTCACTGAAAACATTTTCAGCATGGATTTATTGGAGGCCAGCCACTGCAGAATATTACGTCAGACACACTGTCCTCATATGCCCCTTTCTGATAATATGTTTTCTTTTGTTTTAAAATATTTTTTCTGAATTTAAATACTGAGGCTTTTGATTAAGAATTTTTGATTAAGTAAGATTTATTTTCATTACTTACAACCTTGCATCTAAATTACATATGTTTTTGAATATATCAGGAATGCTTTTAAATTACTTTATGTAAATAACTGTCATATAAGGATTTTGTGTGTGTGTGTAACATCAGTGGTGGATAAAGTATTTGAAAGCCACACTTAAGTAAAAGTATAGATATCTTACCAGAAAAATTACTTTGGTAGAAGTTGAAGTCACCGTTTAGAATATTACTTGAGTAAAATTTTTAAAGTATGTGATATTTATTGTACTTAAGCAAGAAAAGTATTTTTTAAAATACTAAAATACTTAAGTATTGAAAGTAGAAAGTAGTACAGAAAGTACAAATAAATGCAAAATGGAAAAGGAGCAAATATTTTTTTTTAAAAGGGCTCTATACACAGTTTAAGCAGCAAGATGTATTCAGTTTTAACTCTTTCTTCCATTTTGTATCTTTGAGTTAGAGGCACTTCATCCGGTACTTTTTCTCTTTCATTCCAACATAAGAAAACATTTCTGGAATCTGCATCTGAAGTGGCATTTAGATTCATTCACACAGTTTAAAGGGGTCATATGATGTTGCTAAAAAGAACATTATTTTGTGTATTTGGTGTAATGAAATGTGTTTATGCGGTTTAAGGTTAAAAAAACACATTTTTTTCCCACATTCTGTACATTATTGTTTCTCCTCTATGCCCCACCTTTCTGAAACGCGTCGATTTTTACAAAACTCATCGGTCTGAAAAACGAGGTGTGCTCTGATTGGCCAGCTATCCAATGCGTTGTGATTGGCCGAATACCTCAACAGAGCGACAGACCAAACATGGATCCAGCAGCAGTCTCCCCAGTCCACATGCACCAAGGACCACATTAGAAACTTTTTTGGACATTGCATATTTAACCAACCTGCCAGACTAAGCACTTACG